TTGAATGAGACCTAATTCCATCATACCATCACTATCATTCATCTCGTCACTTTCATTTGATATTTGATCATTTTCTTTTAATCTTAATAAAATGTATTTCGATTCTTGTAATCCTAGCCGTTTTAAACGTTTATATTCATGAAAATTAATTAAATCTTTTGTGTATTGTCCACAAGCATTTGTCCATAAACGATTTATGTAAACAATTTTTCCATTTAATATTGGTAGTTTGGGACGTTTTTTCAACGATAAATTTACGATACATGTAATTGGATCACCAAATTGACAAACATAATTGTATGCTTGACATAGATAAACGGAATAATTTGGTTGTATTGATATTAAATGAATAGTATCATCACATGAAATAAAATATTCGGCTTGTATCCATCCATAATGAAACTGATGTAATTTTTGAATATGTTGACGAAATTTGACATAAATTAATTCTTGTTGTTTTAAGGATATTTGTTGACTCGGACATACAAGAATGGAAAGAATACCCAACGGTTTTTCAGCTAAAAATGGCCAACCGCATGAACCATCTGTCAATGGCCACATGATAACATCGTTATCAAATACACATGCACTAGCAATAATATGACGCCAATATGGATAGGTTAATAGATCATAATAAGGTTGAATGATATAACCTACAACGAGTCAATTTTTAATTAAAAATATGGCATTGTAGTGGTTAACTTGAATATTTTCGTACCAGGTTTAAATAAATGTGGATATTGTTTTGGTGAGATGTATGTTCGAAATAATGACAGTGTATCTCGTTGATAGTGTCGTTGATAAAATAGTTCATATTTATTGATCATATTTTCATATGTTTCCCATGAATGAAATTTAAAACTAGACAGTTTATCTAAACTAAATAATGGTTTAACAAAACCAACGTTTTTTATAATTAAAAAGTTTTTTATAGTACAAAAATTGATTGACCGATCAATAGTTGAATCAACAAATAATGTTGGTACACATTCATCGATATTTTCAATTAAGTTTATCATTAAATATTTATTTAAACATTTTAATGTTAATTGAAAACTCATACCAATTAATTGGGGATATTCATTGATTAATTTAGATACAATTAGTTGACCTAATTGTTTATCGCAAAGAACACATTGAATTTTATGCTCATTGATTAATTCTCGACACATGATCAATATTTGATTCAAATTTAATAGACCATATTCATCGTAGATGAGATATTTTTCATCAATTGTAAATATTCGATATTCGATCGATGAATTACTTAAAACTAAACGATTTATAGCTAAATCAACATGACATTCATAGTAGGGTGGAACATAGAGAATCCGAATTAGTTTTCTATCTGATAAATCTTGTTCAATTTTTACACCCGTAGAACGGTCATCGTTATTCATGTTTTCAATGGTTTTCTCGTGTAATCTGATATTGCTTAAACGAATAGTCACATGACTTAATAGAATTTGGAGACATGAAAAAGGCGCTCATATGCACTTATCTTTAAACGTTTCACGATAAATTAGCCTTACATGATCTGAAAATATTTCTGTTTTCCTCAAAGCGATTTCCTAGAAAATTTTATTCGTATGATGAGAAATGTTTCTAAGGCCAGAAACTTCAGTGTCATAACTTCAGTGTAAAATGATACTTTGGTATTCAAAATGCTAAAAACTGTATATAATGTGCATTAGAACCAGGTAAAAAATTCAATATCATCCTGGATCGTGATCGTGCAACAGACTGTTCATAAAATAGTTTGAGACAAAATTTTAGGATTGAAGAGTAAATAAAGGAGATGATAGACGGGCATGAAGTAACATTTTCTATCCATATTGATACAGTTTTTATTTAATTAAAATTGGATAAGGGCAATATCGTGGTACATTAGATGGCCATGAAAAGACATATAGAATGTTTTACTTGCTTGATTAGTTGTGATGATTACAATTTTATTGCCGATAGGTATGACTAAACAGTATGGAAAAGTAGTTATTACAAATGAAGCAGGCAGGTATAGGCGGAAATGAAAAATAATTTGCGTTTGTTTATGAAAAATTTGAAATTTGTTGTCGATATTGTGTTAAAAAATCAGAGTGTCTTAAGTATGAAAAGATACATGACTATAGTTCCGTCCACTCAGCTACTTCTCAACAAATTAAAATTGATTAGAATTTGAATATTTTAAATAAAACGTAAGCATTTTGTTTCTCTATTGTCATCCGAAGAAAAATACTTTTTTGTTCCAGAGTAATCGGACCCGATCAATACCATCTTACTAATTACCATCAGAAAATGGAATTATGGAATTTTGAAAATGAATGAACGCTAACCACGCCGAGTTTACTTTTTCAAAAGTAGTCAAAAAAGCTACTACACATGGTCTAGTTTTACGTAAAATATCAATTTCTTGTTAATTCAACAAGAAGTAAGAAGTTCAATATCAATTATGGACTTCTGTTTTCTGGTTGAAATAACAAGAAATTGATATTTTTCGTAAAACTAGACCATGCGTAGTCGCTTTTTTGACCTTTTTTGAAAAAGTAAACATGGCGTGATTGGAAATCTATGCGTTCATTCATTTTTAAGTGTTTAACTTTAACACGAGAAAAAGATCATGTCTCAGGACATTTTGTATAGCGACTAACAATGATGCATAGAAACTACTCTAGCAGAAAAAAACATCGCGCCTCATCCCAGCTAGTTGAAGCTAGACTAACTAAGTCAAACGGCTAGTTTGAGCTAGCTGCGCGATTTTTTTCTGCTAGGATATCTAGTCGAGTAAGAGCCATGAGTCATATTTTACACACACAAGTATTTCACTAAAATACACTGTGTATTGATGGCCTACAGAAAAGGGAAAAACGATGACTCATGTTTCCTAGCCGGCTAGCTTAGGTTTGTAGAGCAGAGTCTCACGATTCAATTTTGTCTATCAGTTGCTGAAACAGCAAGTCTCCCCCGTATTTCTGTCAAAAGTTATTCAAGAAATTGGGGAGTCTATTTAATTTTGAAAAGAATACTAATTAACTTAAAATTTTATCGTAAAATTTTTGCATGCAACTTGAAAGTATGGTCTTCTATTTATTTCTAGATATTGATTAACTCTCGCTGGATTACTCATAAAGTTATATAATTATTGGTGCTCATGCATCGTTATGACCAGAAAAGTTAACGTGTACGACATGCAGATTCTCTGTAGAATACAATAAATATTTGAGTTGCCTCAACGAATGTCAGGTAGAGACGGTCCCGATTACTAGTTGTGATTTGGTTATCTCTCATTGTAAGATATTTTCCAGGATAAGACAATGACATTTTGTATAAAAAGTGTCTAGGCAGACACATGAGAAAATAAACTGACGATGATATGTGGGAAATTATCAGATAGATTTCCATGTATCTGCTGTTAGATCAAATAATTTTACATCAATAGCTAATACACCAAAAACACTTCTTGAAAGTTTGAAAACAGTATCATACAACTAGGTGAGGCTTCACTTGAGCGCATTCTCATTTTAGTGTGTCTTAGTTTAATGCGTCTTATTTGAGTGCATTTTCAATTACACAACTCATTCCTCAAAATATTTTTAAACATTTGAATTGTTTCCGTCACCACTATTTGAGATTAATTCTTAGTGGTTAGTAATCTTTTATAGTAAAAAAAGAAATAGCGTAGCTTACAATATTTTTGAACAGCATCATTCACATACTCTTGCTGCAGACCGATATTTTGAAGACTATGTTATAAGGCCTGATTGATATCGAAAGGTTCTCTCTTATCCGCGCTTTGAACTTGTAAGAAACTTTCTCCTGAAAATTTCTCTTTTTTAAATTGTACACAATTTTCCATATTTATCTGGAATACAAAGTTTTCGTAATGATGTTGGTAGCGGTGGTTCCTTCCTTTTTTAACTTGAATCTGGGTCGTGCGAATGTGGATTCCTTTAAGAAGACATGCGTTTTATAGATATAAGCTCCCTTATCATTCATTATAATAAGAGTTACTCACTCAAATCTGGTTCATATGATCTATAAGAGTGTTAAGACGACCAGGACACCCATATTCCCGACATTTCCATGAGATCGATTCTTTTTTAATGGCGTTCAATTCTATAACTATATCCTTCAAATTGAACTGCTTGTTTACCAAGGCCTGTTTCCGATATTTCAACTTTAGCCATATTGCTTGACTT